TCACGCCACTTACCTCCCTTTGGCGAGGCTAAACACAACTGGGAGAAATCTCAACATGGATGAATCATCCACCATGTTAAGCGTCATCACCTCGGAGGAGAGGTTAGCGACCCATCTCTGGGCCACCTCGCTTGAACTTCGAGGCGCATGCTACTTGCCTCCCTTTGGCGAGGCTGAATGCCACTGGGAGAAGGCTCAACTAGGATCGAACTTCTTTTCCCTGGTTTACAAGGCCCAACCACTATAGGCTTCAGGCAACTCGATCAGACATAGCAATTTCCTCAGTTCAGCTAAAAGACAATCTAGTATTAAGGTTTATTTAGGTCACAGTTATTAAGCTTAAGTATAATTTACTTGCTTAAGTCCAATATCAGTCATGGTTCATGTGGCTTGAGTACAATCTACTTAAGTGATTGGAGTTGGGATATCAAGTCAAGATTATTAAATTCATCAATCAACTTTAAGAGTGATTACTTAACGAGGCCAATGCACTTGGAAGAACAACATTGAATGAAAAAGATTACATTGATTTTCAATGTTACAAAAGGAGTGCCTGAGGTCAGTACATCAAAATTAACTGAAAAGTAAACTATTCTAAGCCTCGGACGATGGCGGAGGTGCCTCGATAGTAGGAGCCTCCGCAGCTTGAGCATTAGAACTCTTTTCTGCCTCTGCTGCCTCATCCCCAACCGATTCATCAGCTAGGGTCTGAGGCACTTCATCCACAAATTCCGATCTCAGTTGTGACAGGTCTTGATTTGGGAAGAGTTCCTCAGCCCTCTCCATCATTTCAGCATAGGCATAATTCCTCCAGTAGACACTGAAGCTCTTGTACTCCTCTGTGTTGTGGAAGTTGGCAATGTAATCTTTGACTGCCTCCTCCCTCGCTACATTGGCCTCTTCCCTTACCTTGGTCATTTCGTCCACATACCATTTTATTTGGCCCTCCAAGAATTTGTATGCATCTTGGGCCCCAGCCAGCTACAGATTGGCCTTCTCCAAGGCCTCAGCTGTCACCTTTTGGTGGTCATTGGAGACCTTGACTTTCTTGGTAAGGGAAGCCACCTCACACTGGGACTCATAAACCTCTTTCTTTAAGGCCACGATCTGGGCCAAGGCAGACTCCAGCTTGGCCGCATCTTCTTTTTTTTGGGCCCTCGCTTCCTCTGCCTTGGCCCTGACCTTCTTCAGCTCCTCTGCGAGGGAAGACACCTCTTCTCCGATGATTGGGTCCTCATCTGAAAATCAGTAAGGGCCTCCCTACACTCCAACATGAGGTCAAATGTCCTCACACTTTAGCTCACAAGAGCCCTTGTTAGGTCCGTCGAGTCACAGGAAGAGGCATGCAACTGCCACCGATCCGTCCAAAATTTATAGAAGCTCTCCGTAGCGCTTCGGATCTCGGCTGGCAAAGCCTCCACCAACGCCGGGACCAGGACCTCCTCCCTCCCAGCAAGGAAGTTCGGTGATTTCCCTTGGACTCTTGTGGGTCTCTACTTGGCAGCTTCCTCTTCTGCCTTCTTAGCACCGTCCTCACCGCAGCATCATCAGCCTCGGTACGCCGTACCATTTCAACCTTCACAGTTTTGGAAGCGGCCTCCACGAGCTTTGGCTGAGGGGTTTCTTTCCCTTCGTGAGACACAGAGATCCCAAACTTCCCAGATGAGCTAGTGGTGTGCACCAGCTTCCTCTTCTTCGGCTCCTCGGGGACCTTCTCCTTTCCCCGAGGTTCTTTGGCCTACTCTGGCCTTTGAGGGGCCCCTTCCTCAACAACTCTGGAGCTGCCTTCCTTGGAGAGTCGCTCAAACCTTCCCCGAACCTCCTTTGCACCGCTTGACCCTGGCTTCAGGGGCCTCGTCGACATGTTGGATGTGGCCCTAAGGATAGAGGCCATGTCCGGGGCTGGGTACTCCCTCCTCTTGAACTTGTCTGCAAACCAAGTAAGTGCATCAGCATCGAAACAAAAAGCAAGAAATGTACAAGTATTCAAGCCTCTTACCTTTAAAAGCCATCAATTCAAAATTAATGAAGAAGCGGCTTCGATCGATGAGGTGGTCGAAGTGCCGAAGTTTAATAGGTCTCTTGTAAATGTCCTCTATCACTTCAAACTCCTCTTTGCTCAACTCGAACCTCGTACTACTATCTGCACAGCAACCCTCAACAGTTAGAAAAATAAAGTTTGGAATACAGAACGTAAACTACTTAGGCTGGGAGACTCACGAGCTTCATAGTACTGGATCGGTACTCGGTATTGTGCAAGCCAAGGTTGTGTCCCCCTCCACTGTCTGCCACCTGCCCCTTACCTAGAATCACGACTCCTTCCACCCCTTGATGGAAGAAGGCAGCCCTACCACAAATGGTGTGTGAGCCCCCCAAGGAGTTAAGTAATACCACCCCCTCGACTCTTTACCGATCACCCTAGGCTGGAACAGGGTCATGAAGACGTGGAGAGGCATGTCCTCCCCAAGTGACACTTCCTTCCACAGGAAGTATGAGCCAACCAACTAGCTCCACCCATTTGGCAGAACCTGAGTCGGCGATAACATAAAGTTCCTAAGCACTGCCCTAAAGAAGGGGTGCAGAGGAAGACGCATACTTATCCTGAATAGGTATTCACTCTTCGCCATGCACCCAGGTCTCGGATAGCAGGCACACTCATTAGCCTCGGGTACCAACATTTCCACATAATGAGGTACACAATTCCTCTCCCTGATTTCTCCTAACCTTTTCAAAGTCATATTTGAAAGCACTCTGGACGCCCCCCACTCCACACTGTAATCTATTGGCTCCTCGGTTATAGCATATTGCTCGACCTCGAGGTCCCCTTTGTGACTCGCCCTCTTGCCGAACGATGCAATTGTTACTAATTCCCTACCCGAGGTGGACTCCATATCAGAATGAACTTAATGCAAAGGATTTACTATGAAAATAGCTATGGAAAATGACTACGCAAACGGAGTAAAGCCGGAAAACGAGAAGATCGATTGTTTGGAAGCTGGAAAACTGGAGTTTTTAGGAAATCATATTGCAAAGAATGAAAATCCAAAAAAATGGGGGTCTCTCGCTTTTTATAAAGGGCTAGAACGAACCCCAACCGTCTGATCAAAACCCCATTGAATTTGAACCCTTCGTTCTAAACCAAATTCGAGGCGTAGAATTCAAACGATTTTTCAAACCTATACTTTAGATTCAACCGTGTCCTTCACGCATCTCCCCAAATGCACCTGCTTCTAGAAGCTCCAACTGTGCTCATAATTACGACTTTAATTCGACGGCAGTTGACGCCTTGGAAGTTGAACGGTCCAGCCACCTTTCCTCAAAAATATGCGTAAAACATCAAATCATTTGTACAACTACAGGGGAATAATCATTACCAATGAGCCTCCACAAACCTCACAGGTTCGATTTTTCAACCACCTCGGCTTCATCACAATTCAGCCATAACAAGCCTCGCAGATTCGATTTCTCAACTACCTCGGCTTCATCACAATTCAGCCATAACAAGCCTCGCAGGTTCGATTCTCAAACCACCTCGGCTTCATCATTCTCATCACTCCTTGACAACAACATATTTCTAACTCCAACCATGATATAAATATCTATACTTGGACTTGGGGGACTATTATTTAGGTTACAAAAATTTCTTTCAACTTAACTGATTGGCTTTACTTCATCAAAGTCTTCGCATTACATAAATGACTATACTTGGACTTGGGGGACTATTGTTACGTGTTGACACACTTGGCCAACCCATTGGGGCCTATGGCCCACTCATGCCAAATCATGTGACACTCCAGCCGAGGTGGTATGTATGGTCCAGGCTCTCATGCCAAAGCTCTGTGAAAGTGGCCGAGGCTCTCATGCCAAAATACCATGAAAATGGAGCCGAAGCCTTGAAGTGGAAGTATTATGTGAATGGAGGAGGCCCCGTTGGCCGAAACTCAGTAGCCGAGGTAGCCACATCCGAATCACAAAGCAGCATCTTCCATAGACACTTCTCCTAAGAGATCTTCTGCACAAAGATTTTACTTGAATGATTGATAAGACGTTTGTCATGAGTGTGAATCTTAAGTCTTGTCACTAGTAGAAGCGGCTCTGCCAATTAATAAATGTATAGTAGGCTAGGAGTGGCTGATACCTACAATTTGACATGTAAATTGTCCGGATGAGGCCACGTGTATCCCGAACCAAGGGTCACGATCTAACTGGTGACACTATAAATACTCCCCCATGTACCTCATACAAAGGCTAATGCAAAAATCAATACAAGAAATCATACTTTACTCAACTCTCTCTTATCTTGCAATACAAACGAGTTCATACATATTTAGATATACATTTACAAATATCGATTGATAATTATTGTACAATCGGTCTACGAACATCCGCCGGATTCCGAACGCTCTCGTCCTGCACCGTTGAGTTACTCCCACGCCCTTGATCTGTTCGTTTTAGACCATCCACGTGTTTTAGAGTGTTGGACTTTCGCTCACGTGTGCGCGGGTGGGTCCAGCATCTGTTGGCAACATTTTTTTGAGTCAACAACTTGGTTCTCTGAGATTCATCCGACTGTAGAGGGATGAATTTTTGTGTTCATCAACCGCCATTAACGGCCGTCTGCAGTGTACCAGAAAGATTGCACTGCGTACATGCGGTAGGGGCCTGCTGGTCAGTGGCCATTTACTGACGATATTCACTTTTCAAATTATTGTTCCTCAATTATGGACACAACACAATCAGATCAAATTTAACATGTCCAGTTTTCCATCAGGAAAAAAAGATGAACTAATTAAACTTCCATTATGATTCGGTGGTTGGTTATGTGAATTCTTTTTCATTGTTTCGTTCGGTTCATTGCTAAATCATCATTAGCAATTACATTAGGTGGGGTCGAGTACGGACTTCTTTAGGTCTATGCCAGTTTGACCTTTTACTTAATTTAAAGTGCATAGGAAAAGCCAAGATAGCCTAAGTGGCCTTGTATTTAAGGAGGCTTGTGTCGGTATAGAGAGGCATTGTGGAAGCTAGTTCCCCCACTCCACTCTCAATCTTTCAAATTTCCTTTTCCTGTTTGAGAATCCCCTCCCTTCCCCTCCCATACACAGAGAAGGAGAAATGGGAAGGCCTCCTTGTTGCGAGAAAGTTGGTATCAAGAAAGGTCCATGGACACCGGAAGAAGACATCATCCTTGTCTCGTACATCCAAGAACATGGCCCCGGAAACTGGCGTTCAGTACCTATAAACACCGGTATCTCATTCATCCACAATTAGTGGATCTTAATCTTTATCGAATAAATTATTTCGGACAATTATTTTCTTGTTTTGATTCAATTCCCCTTTTTGTTTAAGGTTTGTCGAGGTGTAGCAAAAGCTGCAGGCTAAGATGGACTAATTACCTGAGACCTGGAATCAAGAGGGGAAATTTCACTCCACATGAAGAAGGAATGATAATCCATCTTCAAGCTTTATTGGGAAACAAGTAATGTTTTCAGAACCCTAAATTTTTTCTCACATAATTCTGTAAAATGTCACCAAATCATTATAAAGAAATCCATTTTTTTCTTCACGATTAAAATTATGAACTAGAATAGACTCGAGCTTACCCCTCACATGTCAAATTTTTTGTAGTAGCCTTGTTACACCTTACATCTCAATTCTTTTCGCCAGTATATCTGAAAGCTGGATTTCTCCTCAGGGCAACCATGGATGAACCACGTGAATAAATATTTCATAGTAGCCTCGTTAGCTGGTATATCTGTATTATAACCCTATTATGATTAATTTTAACCTGCTTTTTGGGACAGATGGGCAGCTATAGCTTCATATCTTCCACAAAGAACAGATAATGATATCAAGAACTACTGGAACACCCACCTGAAGAAGAAGATAAGCAAATTTCACTCAACTTCCGATCCACAAATGGCATCTAATTCAACCACTTTTCAGTTTACATCCAAGAATTACACGGATAATTCTTCAGTATATGCCTCAAATACAGAAAATGTATCAAGACTCCTAGAAGAATGGACGGGATCATCTTCAAAAACTATCACTGCCCCGAATGGAAATCGCGAAGAATTGCCACGCATTATCAGCACGAAAAATAGTCGCACTGAATGTAGTTCTTCTGCTGCACCATCATTTCAGTGTTATAGACCACAGGTTGATCAGGAAGGCAAAAATATGATCCCTACTGATGAATTTGAGTCCATATTGTCATTCAATAACCTAAACGCCACGGCATTGGAAAGATTATCCAGCAGCTATTCGGCTCGAAGAGGTTCTGACAGCAGTGGCATTGATCAGAATCCCAAAGCCGAAACCGATGCTCCATTGTCATTTCTTGAGACATGGCTGCTGGATGAAACTGCAGGTCAAGAAGTGATGGACCTGCCACAAATATTCTAGTTCAATAAAAAATAACCTATGGAGAAAATTTGATGCAGAAAAATCGGAAGGATCAATGTGAATTTACAGACACCAATCTCATTCTAGGGTTCCACAATGTTAGATATCTCTAATGCTTCTTCTTTTTTTGCTTAACAACTTTTACTTGATTACATAATGTTAGACTATTTGAAGTATTTTATCTATCCATTGTCGTCTGTAAGCTTCTGATAAATTATTAAATCAAGGATCAAACAAGAATTTAACATGCATTTTTATAATTAGGTAAAAATAAGTGAATTTTTACTTCCATACGTAATTTGAACGTGTTCTTTTTCTTAATTTTAATTAAAAAAGTTTATTTTTGTCGAATCTGCTTAAAGCTTGGATCAATCACATACTAATCACGATTACCACAGGTTATATAAACTAATCTTGAATATCATACTATAGAGCCATATTAATTATGACCGACGAGTAGAGATGGAGAAATGAATAAGAGCATTAAACCTATAGTAGAAGCACCCATTAAATCCACAGCAAATGACAGAGAGTATACATGTCAGAGGCAAAGTCAATACAACCCACAAAAAAAGTGAAATCTACATAATTTTATGCCACTTTCTTTTTATCTCTGCAGGGATAATTAGGAGATAATTTAGGGTCAGAAAATATCAATAAGATGGAGGATGATGAAAATAAGTTGACGACAGAGATGCGAAAATGAACAAAGATTAGAGACATTCATTACAATTAAAATATAGTACAGCTAACAAAAATTATGGTGGCTATGATGTGAATATAATTATCCAAAATAAGATATAGACCTTTATTATGCTATGGCAAAGACGAAGAAGTTTACTTATTTAAGTAAAAAGATAATTTTTAAAATAAACCCAATTTTTTTCTTTTTTTTTGGGGGTGAAAGGTAGAAATAAGTTAAGTATTTATTTAGATATTAAGCTAATCTAAACAACTTCTTTTGCATAAAAGAAAGAAAAAAGTAAGTTATTTAAACATGTTTGAAATTAAAAAATTACTTAACTTCTCGTATTTTAAGGGTTAGCTAGCCAAACATTTTGCTCAACTTACGTTACATATATCGTCGACAGAAAACATAGAAAGATAGCCATAGATTATACATAGAAGTAAGTTATTTCACATATGTTTGGAAGTAAATAGTTACTTAAAAGTAACTTTTTTCAAAGGTCAACTAAACGTGCTCCTCAAAATGTTTGGTGCTCGGCACACATTAGATTTTATGTATTCTCGACCGACCAAAGAAGTATAAAGATAGCCATTGTATGTAGGGGACGGCATAGTGTCACGGAAGTCTTGTTACTGAATAAGGTAAATGCTTGCTATCTTGGAGTTCCCTTCCTTTCTTCCTTCCACAATAGTAGGAGAGGGAAACATGTGAACTCGTTTGACGTTTTGGGGTGGGAAGCTCAAAAATGCTTGCTGGATCCACATATGCCATAAAAAGAAATTGTAAAATGGAGTCAATTTGAATTTTATGCTTTTATAAACAATATATTGAAACACTTCATTAAAGAAGTCAAGCTTTTACGAGAATATAGATTTAGTTATTGTTTATATTTATATCTTAACACTTTTTGAGTCCAAGAAATAGGGAAAAAAATATCTAAATATATAGGTATTCCGAGTACACCTACTAACATACAAGAGTCTTATAAGTATTTAAATACTTTCATCTGATATATGTTACTAATTTCGTTGGTCGAATCTCATCGATAGCTTAAATCAAGGGATTTTTGTTACTAAGTTTGCTCATAAATTCCAATCTCATTGATCTTTTAATAAACTTTTAAATATTATTGTTACATAAAAAATTACATAAAATTTAGCTTCTACTTTTTCTTTTTAATAATGTCTAGTATTGTACATTCTAACTTATGACAAAACTAGTTTACATTTTAACAAGATTGAAAATATATATAAGGGTAATTATATTCACGCAAAAATTAATAATAATAATAAATTATATCTACACCATATTAATTATAAGAAATATTTTCAATATTTGCTTACTTTTATCTCAATATTTTTTATTGTCGCATTGTCATTCTTAACCTTCAATTAAGTAACATATGTTGTCTCTAGTCATGATTTTCATCCAAATATTCTACTATCGTACGTTGAAAAGATGGGCAAATATTTTGTTTAACTTTTGTATTAATTAATTATTTATTTTTGTCATTTAAAATACAAAAGATAAATGTCATTTTGGGCCTCAAAACAAATATTTTGGATGAAAATCGTCTCCATAGAAAAGATGTGAAAATTAATAGTGTGTTGATGGTAAAAATAAAAAAATTAAAAAAAAATGAGAACATAAGTGTTAAAATAAGAAAAAGTTAGGGTTATTAATTGTAATTAAAATAAGATGTGGTTATCAAAAATCGTGATGTGAATATATTTACCCTATATATAAAACAAAATTGTTGGCAGTAATATTTAACCCTTGTTTGACTCTCTTTAAATGAAAACTCTTTATTTCTCATACTCATTTTCAACTATACAAAACATCATTTTTTTTTCTCCAATTTCTTTTTATAATGACTGTCAATCGAGGCCTTAATTTTATTTAGTTTAACTTAAAAAAAAATATTTTACATGAAATAAATTGATACAACATCACTTTCCAAATTATTACCAAAACTACCAAGCAATAACCATATGGGTTGGCATGCATGTGATACATAAACTACCCCCTAAAACTCTTCCTTTATCTTTTGGTCAAGTAACCAATCCATGCAAAATTACAAACCCTACATTACTAAGGCATACCTACAAAATTTAATTGAATTTATTTGATGAGACGTGGCACCATCACGGTATGCCACGTAGACAACAAGATTGCCCCTTCACTCTTCAATCAATTGAGATGGAGGAAAAGGTTGTTAGTGGTCAAACTTTGTGGATTAGTCAACATAATTACAAATTATTTGACTTCCTACGTATTCTCAAAATTAACCCTATTAGTAGCCTTAAAATTAGGAGAAATTATCATATTATGAATAATTAAAATTTGTACCAAACTATTTTTACTAGATTTGTTACACTGACCAATAGGTCATTGCAATCAAATTGATTGCAATGACCTAAGTATAGCATAATTGAGCCCATAATTTATTATATACAACCAATTTTGAATGAGTATTTGACTAGTCAAATTTGAACAATTTAGTTAATCATCACCCAGCCATTTTTTGAATTGGTTTGTCGCATTCTTATATTCGTGAATTTAGATGCATCTGTAGATCTATTATTTTAGTAATTACAGGTTAATCTAAATAATTTGCATTGAAATCTACAAGTACTCTTCCATATTTTATGTTTATTCAAAATCAGTTTAAAAAAAGAAAATATTTTCCATCTTTTGTGGAAAATAAAAATCACTTCTATTCGAGGAAAATGTTTTCCTTAAAAACAAGGAAAAATTAGTCATATTTTTAAAAGTTGGAAAATGTTTTCCATGAAAAAAATAGCAATCAAACACTTTAAGTAGAAATTTTGGTGAAAAACTGATATTTTCCATGGAAAATAAATGTAATCAAACACACCTTTAAGATCATTCGAGAGTTTAAATAACAAGGGAACATGAAAACGAATGACTAAAATTCCCTACTCGACAATCAAATAAAGGTAAATTATGTTCTTTGCTTTCAAATTTTGCTCTGAGTAGCAGATATCCTTTTTTTTTGCCAGTTTTAATTCTCAAATTTTTACTATTTAGCAAGAATTACCCTTTTGGACAGTTTCCGTCCAAATCTATCGTTAAATGGGTTTGCTGACCTCTTTTTTACGTTTACTGAAAGGCAAAATTGTTGACCCGCATAAATCCATTATCCCACATTTATGCTTCCCTCCTAATTTCGTTGTCGTGATGAAATATTGACAATTTTCATATCACTAGCAGGCTCTTCTGTATTAACAGTTTCTCTTTTTCGTAGCATACCTTAGAAGATATGTACCCATGCTCTTGTCAGTAATTCGTTGATATCCAATCCACAGAAGACGGGATTTGTAGATATGAAAATCAAATTGATCTAAAGACTTCATATGTCCACCCATAACATAAGATGTTGTATGTTCTTTCCTTTGAAAGCAACTTGTTCCAGTCAAATTTATTTAATACCCTAATGCTATAATATTTGCAATTAAATTGATTGTCCCAAGTTGAAATGAATAGCATAAATAACATTGAAAGAACACTTAAAGGCTCAATTAAAGCATCAAATTAACTGGAAATATCTACCTATGTTCTTGCACCAGCCTGTCCACCATGTGGAATACTAGTTTTATAGTTTGTTTTCTAAAGTGAATTATGCACCGAATACTATATAAAAGAAAATAAAATTGAAATACTATTCGTAATAACGTTTATTAATGTGTATTGAATGTGCCATGGACCCTTTAAATTACTGTATCGTAATGTATGTATAATGGCTCTTTATCTATTTGATGAGCCAACATAAATAAAATTGATTTTTGAGCTATTGAGGACCATATTTATTTTCAGAAACATTTCGATAATGTCGATATTTCGTATGCATCAATGACATTTACTTCGTCAAATTTGTCCATTAAAAAAAAAAAATTCACATAATGGCCCTTTTAAGTGAACAAAGGAAGTATTCATTCTGAATCGTCTGATCATTGATAAGGATTTTATCGATCTTGTTAGGAGATTTTGTTCACAAAATCGTCTGATCATTGATGGGGAAAATGAGCAACTGGACAGAATGGGCCTGGTTTACCACTCCCAGTGTCTTATGGGCCCCCAAATAACTTAATAAAATTTAAGCAGAATTCAGAAAATTACTCTCAAGATCTTGCTTCTTTACATAAATGAACACCTCATCTATATTTCTTTGGCATTTAAGCCACCACTTTTGATTTTTGTAATATCTAAGGACGAATTGTGGTAAATATCATGTTAATTATGTTAGAAAGACATAATTAGAAAGTTCCAAAAAGACATAATTAGAAAGTAAAAAAAAGAACCACTTTCTAATTCTTTTGGACATGCGTGTCTCCAATTTCTCAACTTCATGAAATCTAGGTCCAAACAAGTTTCTATTCATACTGATGCTAAAGGAAACAAACTTTTATTAAAAAAGACAATTACACAATTATTTATAATTAAAAAAAAAATTTCTTAAAGGAAATCAAGCTTTCCCCCTACCCAACATAAACCCTCTTCCCCACCTCCACCAACTCCAAATAATCACCCAAGATGAAAAATAGAGAGAAAAAATAAAAAGAAAACATTGGGGCCATAGAGTATAGGTAAATTACCATGAGGCAGATGGATCATGGAAGCGGACCGAGAGAAAGGGAACAATGGGGCTAGGGGTTGGGATGGAGACAAATGAGAACTGAGGAGTTGAAGAGAATGCACAATTGAAGAACACAGATGAGTAACATAATTGATTCTTTCTATTTTCGTTTAATTTCCTCACTATAGTTACTTGTGCTTACTCTTTTCACTCCTTCAAATAATATTTCATGTATGTCCGATTTTTTGATACATAAATCGACCAAGAAAATGATTGTTGGAGACTTGACAAATACAAAAATTAAAAGTTCAAGAAATATCGTAAAAAGATTTTAGATTTGTTTGTCCGGTATCGATAAATTAGGGACTTTTGTTGTAATAAAAGTTTAAATATTAAAAATATCAAATATCGAATTCCAACTTCCACTTTTGGCTTGTTTGATTTACAAAATTTTTCAGGGAATTGATTTTCCATGAATTTCTAGGTATAACACCTTAAAGCGTGATTTTCCACATTTTATTTTTCTCGGGGTAGGTGGTTTTTGGTTTTCCACCTTTTTTTTTTTTTTTGCTTTTTGTTTTTTTTTAATTGTTGGCAATGGGAACAAATTCTAGGAATATTTGTAAAAGAGGATATCCCTGAAATTGACAATTTTCATGTAAAACAAAGCCAAACGAACACCAAAATATAGGTGATTTTTTTATCTTTTTTTTTCCTTTTCTTTTTGTTGGTTGGCAATGAAAACAAATTCTAGGAACAATGGTAGAAGTGTATGTCTCTTAAATTGACAATTTTCATGTAAAATAAAGCCAAACGAACGTCAAAAAACACTTTTACTTCAATATTTTTCACGTGAAAAATTATACCAATCAAACACGATAATTTACAATTTTCAGGAAAATAATTTCTAGGTAATTTAATTTCCTGGAATTCATTTTCTTTCCACCCAAATTTCATCTTTGCAATCAAACAGACCCTTAGTGTCACCAATGCTACCAAATTTGATTTTATTTCACCAATAACTCAATTTCATATAACGTTTACCCAACTTTTTTTCACCCTTTTTTTTATTAATTTTAAAAGGAATAAAATAGTAATTTTGCATTATATATATAAAATAAATAAATAAACAAAAATAATTTGTTTTTAAAATAATTTTTTATTTAAAAATTTTTTTTTAAATAATTTATTTTATTTTATTTTCTTAATGAATTTTTTAAAAATATTTTATGTTATTTTATTTTTCTAAGTAAAGCCTTTTTTAAAATAAAATTTTAAAAGTTCAAAAGAAGGAAGAAAAATAAAATGAAAAAGACAGTGTGGGGCACAACCACAACCACATAGGACTGGCGAGGCGAATCCCAATTTCGAAATCCAAAAGGCCAAACGGCAAAAATGAGTATAAAATAATAGCATAGCGCACGTGTTTGTCGGATACTGGCGCGTAGAAATTGGTGCCACAACAAATCGAGAGAAACTTCAATTGGACGATCCAATCAGAGTGTGCCACCTCTGCGGATGGCCCACCATACATGATATACCCCAAGGTGTTTGGGCCACACGCTGACGCGGCTCTCGACATTGGATGGGCGTACCACTTGGATTGTACGCCTGTCCCACTGAAGAATTAGTTCAACAAACCAGGGGCGGCAGCTTATGGTAGGCGTTGAGATTGGTGAAGAAGATTGGTAAATTCTGAATATATAATTTTCTACTGAAATAATAAATGAACATTCATTTTCATATTATAAAAAAATTATTTCAGAATTTCTAGGTCTGGTTTATTTATCAGTGAACGATATTTGACTAATCCTATCCCATTCTACTTCCTTCAAGATACTCTTTTCTAACATTTCCCAGAAAACAACAGATTTTGGAATATTAAACAAGATTATGACTACCCTGTTTGTATATTTTGTCAAAATTTCATTATTATGCTATATGTGTGGCATTCTTTATTGAGTAGATTGCTCAACAGATAAATTCTTTTTCCCTTTCTGTGATTCAGGTGTTTCTGATTTTCTGAAATTATGGAGTTCTTGGAAACATCTGAAGTGATTCAGGTGTTTCTGATTTTCTGAAATTATGGAGTTCTTGGAAACATCTGAAGGCCAATTATATATTGGTGTTGCTGTTGGGCTTATTGCTGTTAGTGCAGCTGCATACTTCTTGTTTTCGTCCAAGAAACCCAAAGGTTTAATTTATTTATGGAGATCTGTATGATATAATTTTGACTGCAAATTTTATTTTACTTCTCATAAATAATCTTGTTTATGCTGTATAATTTATGGATTTCTTTTATGGCTGTTTTTATTTACTTAAATGATTTTCGTGGGTAGTTTCTAGGTATTAACTTCCTGTTTAAAGATAAAAATCTAAAAAATTTCAATACCTTACGTGGAGATTCTTGATTGTTATTGTGGAAAATTGAAACAAAAATGTTGTGCTGAACAGTTTGCTTGGATCCTGAGAATTTCAAGGAGTTTAAGCTTGTCAAGAGAACACAACTCAGCCATAACGTGGCAAAGTTCAAATTTGCTCTTCCTACACCTACTTCTGTGCTGGGACTTCCTATTGGGCAGCATATAAGTTGCAGGTTAAGTCATCCCTCTCAGTCGTTTGCTAGTGATATAAAATTATAGTTTTGAATTTCAAAAGAAGGATTATAGTTGTATGTTGCCTTTACTCTTTACTTCAATCGCATATGGTCTTCTTGTGCAGGGGTAAGGATAGTCTTGGTGAAGAGGTTATTAAACCATACACTCCCACTACTCTGGATTCTGATGTCGGATATTTTGAGTTAGTCATAAAGGTATGTATCCCGAGTTTTATTTTATTCAATTTGGCATTGTAGATCTATTGAGCACCCAATTTTCTACTTTTGTCTCGTTTGGTTGGCTTCTTGATATGGATTTTGACGGTGATTAGATGTATCCACAAGGAAGAATGTCTCATCATTTCAGAGAAATGTGTGAAGGTGATTATCTGGCTGTAAAAGGACCAAAGGTATGCTTTGTTCTATCAATATGAGCTATTTTGCAATCCAATAATGTGAAAATGGTTTGCCCTACCTCTCCTGGGGGAAATACAAAATATGCTGTCAGGTTCACAAGGGCCTGATTCTTTACTGATATACTAAAAGAAGAAAATGGGATATGAACAGTATTGGATTTTCAAATTCACTTGTTTTTGTCTAAATTTGGGGTTTAGATGAATATTTGACTCCTATTAGTTACATTTCATAAAGTCTAGTTATAGGGCCAGTTCTGTGATTGTCGGGGCCCGAGGCGAAGTCCAAAAATTAGGTCCCCAATATCAACGTAAATTCAAAATTTAACAATATATTATGCAACATATTGTTAACTTAAAACTTAAGATTAAAATAACAAACAAATATCTCAATCATCTCACAATTAATGAAAAAATTATTTTCCTTTTCCTTTTCCTTCTTTTAATATTTTTAAAAAAAAAAACTTTGGACCAAAATAAGCTCTTTTTGGTTTTGGGCCTGAGGCACAGGCCTCATTTGCCTGTGCCCAGGACCGGCCCTGTCTAGTTATGCATTAAAAATAGCTAAATCTTGCCTCTGGTGTGTTGTAAATCCTTTTCTCCCATAGAGTTATTGATAGATTAAAATATTCGTTTAAGAATTGATTGTAAGATGACACCTAGGGTTGACGCATACTATCCTCAGACATGGCGTTTTCCATGTTCTAAAAAGGCTAAAATTTATTGATATGGTAAATTTGATGTGCTACGTCATTTTATTCTTAAGAGAAGAGTACAGTAAGCCAATGTTTGGCTCATAATTATAAATTATTTATGACTGCTCAAGTTACTTTTTATCCATACATTTTGAGATATCCACAAGTGCTACTTATTTATCCATCACTCATTTCTATCTACTTATAATTTAAATCATTTATAAACACTTCCTAAATATGCTTTAGATCATTTTATTCCCAGAGTACCAGGGACGGATTCAGGATGAGATCCACGACCGGGCTACTACGTGGAAAAAAAAATTTTTACGCATAAAAAACTGATTTTTTATCCAAAAAAATAAAAAATACCTTAAAAAAAACTCTTGGACCTGAGGGGGGGGCTACAACCCAGCCCAGCCCCCCTATATCCGTCACTGCAGAGTACAATAAAAAAATATCTCTGAATACTTTGCATTAAATTGAAACATTTAATGTGGCACTTTCTCACGAATGCTTGGAACACGACAATTTCATTATGAGGTAATGATATTTATCCACCTCACAGCATTGGTACTAAGTGTTTGTATGTATTTCATTATATGTTCCTTATAATTTAAAAGCCAAAGTCAAACTTAACATTGGCAACACATTCCATAGGATCCATAACTACTACCCACTTATACACTACTCATTCCTATCACATTATGATTTCAGCGATTTATAAAAAAACCCAAACATGTGCTAAATTTAATCTCTAAGCATAACAATTCTTCAATATTTTGAAGAAATGGTCGATAAGGAAACCCAAATTCATCTCCAATGTTTTCCTAGTTATATTTATATGATTAATTGATTATACGGCAAGCAGGGATTCAAATAGACATATTCATATTTTCTAGAAGATAATAACCATTCACAGAACAGAGTTTTAACGTGTTTTAGAAGTGAATTATGTGAAAATTTTACTGTATTTTTAGTCAAATAAAGTTTTGGAACATCTGATAGATCAATATACTTAGCAGCTTTAACATATAAATAGGATATAAGGATATTGTTGATTAGTAAGATGGCCTGATTCACTAATTTCGAAGCTATAATAAGCTTTATATTATTTCTTCCAAAGTCAATTTTTTCTCATGATCTTGGAATGCTACATTATCTATAAAGAAATTCAACAAAACCCCACATATAATTTGGTGGTTCATCAATTATTTTGGTAAATCTTAACTTTTGAAGGCCTAAAATGATTCTCCATGCTAAAGTAGCTTGGTCTTTTCTCATTTGCATTAGTTTGGGTATATTGGATGATGTGCAGTTGAAGTAATTATTTACTTAATTGGGAACTTCCTGTACTAGGGTCGTTTTAAGTACCAACCAGGCCAAGTGAGGGCTTTTGGGATGCTTGCTGGAGGGTCTGGCATTACTCCAATGTTCCAGGTTATATTCCTGAATCTTTAGTATCCTGCATGAGATATATGCCGAAGCTGATGGATTTTTTACTATTACCCAGAAAAAAATAATGATGAATTGCTTATTTATCGAGGATTTTGGTCCACATACATATCTCATTGTTTTTATTTTTTATTTTTTTACATCCGTTTAGGTTACCAGAGCTATTCTTGAAAACCCAAATGACAAAACAAAGGTGCATCTGATTTATGCTAATGTGACCTACGAGGACATTCTTTTAAAGGTAATTCATGGACTCTCTTTCCAGTATATTCCTTTTGAATACTACTTGTGTGCCAAGTTGTCAGTTTATAGAGAGAACCAATTAACACTGGATTGATCCATAAAAGCCCAATTTTTTGGGAGAGCTGATAGCTAATATTATTATTGTGAACTATAGTATTGTTGGCAACTAAATTTGTATGGGAACAATAAGAAAAAAGGAGACAATTAATTTAATTAGCATTGGTACTATAGATCTATTTGCCTCTAAATCTTAAAATTGTGGTAAAAAGGCCTATAAAGCTTAAAAGATTTTTAGCTCGTATCCGCTACCGAGTAGTTTCGTTTATGTCTCATTGCAGGAACAATTGGATAGTCTTGCTACTAACTACTCTGATTGTTTCAAAATTTACTATGTACTGAATCAGGTCAGTTCTCTTTATTCGTTTTTAAAATTTTTTGTATTTTTTTTCCTTCTTTTATTTGGACTTCATTTGCATTTCGTAGCCATTATATTAGCTTCACCTAAATCAATTGATTTAGCTAGCTTCAATTATTTTACCCATTTTTTCATCTTCAGAATTGGAAATTTTGATATAAATATTATGTGGCTTCAATGTGTTCTCCTCTACCTTGCAAACTCCTATTTTTTACTCTTTATTCAAAGACACAACTAAGTTGTTTTACGGTTCATATATCTTTAACTTATTATTTTAGTGACAGGAAAGTACAACATATATTCATGACTATATTTGTCGAATTTATGCAATGAATCACGTGAAATGCCTTCTATGTATGTGTGTGTGTGTATATATA